TTTATCGTTGGTGGTGATGTTAAATGTCGTTGGTGTTAACGCTTCTCCCCTTTTCTCGTGCGGATCACCCCCGCCTCCAGAGTGCATCAAACAAGTGCCAAGAGATCACGTTCCCTCACTCACGACTCCCCCCCCCCAACCTCCCCTTTACCAAGTTATCTCCTACCTATACGGTACTGGTCAGTGGTCACCAACTGACCGGAACACTCCTGGCCCCCCCTCTCCCCCCCCCCCCAGGCAAACCAATGCTGCTGCCTTCGGCGTTAAACTCACTAACTTAGAGTTGTATTATATCCCTGCCTTATCCCTCCCTCCCCTAGCTTCACCTGGCCCAAGACAATTTTTTTTCCTACCGGTACAGTACGTGTACTAGTACTTTGTACTCATTTTCTCATTTTCTAAGGTAAGATCGACGGTTGCCTAGCTTGGTAATCCGTTGCCTGTTGGAAAGTGATGGCCGATGAGATTTGCTCAGCTGATGAATCGCGAGATCACGAGGTTACGCGTAGGTGGGGATAATTTGAACTGAGGGAGGGGGGAAGCAGCGCGCGGGGTATGCGCGGGACGCTACATTCCTTGGGTGCGGGTGGTGGGTAGGCCGGGAGACAACCCCCCCGGGAAAAAAGCCATTGTAATCCCTCACACAGAGGTAATCTTGACGTTCTAATTTCTTTTATCCCTTGGACTGGCATGTGCTAAGGGGGGTCTTTTTTTAATTTTTTTTTTTTAAAAAAAAGCATCTGGCTGGACAAGGGCGTGTGCTTTAAAGTCCTAGGTTGGGCGATGGCTGAGGGTATATCATGAGAAAGTGAATGGCTGATTTGAGGTGAAGGCGTGGGCAGCCACTGCGAGGAATGGGGAGAAAGAATTGACCCTGAATCTAGGATATAGTGGTGAGGGGAATGGTTGACTTGGGGGTTTTTTTTTTTGGCCCTACATCTGGTACAGGTTCTGGGCACGCCGTGAGACTTGAATAGTTGAGCTGACGCTACGACGTCCATAATTCCCCTTTTTGGATAGACGGGGGGAGACACCCTCCTGAAAGGGGCTGGTTTTTAAGCCCTCCACTGAGACAAACGGAAGGATGCGATGGGCCTGATGACACTAGGAGAGGAAACTCGAATGTCCTAGCTTGAGGTTCAATTATTCCGGTTCTTACGGTATGGACACTTCGTAACCTCCGTGATGTACAGTATCTGGACTTTCCTTTCACGTATCGGTGGCGTCGCGGCAATAGCTCCCACTGGTAGAATATGCACGGTGGAGCTATTCACGTTGTCACTTGCTTCGCCCGGGGGTAAGAGTCGTTGAAATGTTGGTGCGGAGCTTTCTGTCGTACATCCGGTGAATTTCCTTGCGGTCTTTTATCCGGAGGCCACTTTCGAGTTAGGTGAACTATTAGGTCTTATTTAGCACTTGCAGGATCGGTCGCTCTTAATTTCTTCAGGTTGAGTTCTGCGCCTGTAATAGTACCGCTCATAGCACTGGTGAGGCTATCGCAGGCAGGGGATTTGTGTGAGCTCTTCGAGTTGGGATAATATCACGAGTCTATTGGGCCCCCTTTGAGTGGGACACGGGATTTTCGAGAGAAGGCTATGGTATTGGTGGATGGCTTGAGACGCGAGCTCGTCTATTTCGGGCCATGAGCTGTCGCCTTTGGTCTGTACTCTTGGATGTTATCATGGATTATATTTTGGGCTCCAATCGTGTTTTGGGATTGGAAGGAGGAAAACTGAGATTCTCCTCATCTAAGGCTGCAAAAAGGAACGTAAAAGGGTGCCTCAAGTTGGTCTGTGGCTAGGATGGTTGCATGATGAGCGGGCTTTGACCATTTGTCATGGTCGATCACTCGTACTTGGCTGTGGAAGAAGTGTCGAAATTGTTATGATACTTCAGTGTGACGGGAAGCACGGGCATGTCCGGGTACCTGCTGTCCAATCTCGGGTATCATGATATGGATGGTAATAAGAGTCATCCGGATGTATATAGATCAGACCGCTGACATAAATAGGGTAGGCTTGGGTGTACTGTAGTCTACTAAGAGTAGACAACATAAAGTCTCTCCACAAAGAATCGATCTTTCAATCACCGAGTTCTTCATATCTCAAACTATATTCCTTCTTCCACTCTTTCTGTGCGGCCTCCGACAATGAAGTTCTCTAGGGTTGGCAAGAGAGGCCCGGCTTGATGAGAGTAGGGCGCGATTCCCTGGGTTGGAATATCGCAGGTTGTGAGCATCGCATTGCAGTACCGCGATTTGTCACCCGCTTACCAATATCGACCTTCGGCCATTGAGCCACCTTTCTGAATCTTGCCTTGCCCTTAGTCGAAATCTATACTGAACCTTCTGCTGTGCCTATTCCGCGCGAAGTGGCTTTGCAGTCGGATATTAGTGATCAGTGTTTATGTAAAGTTTCTTGCCCTCCTGGAGATTTATCTCCTCCGGGGGTGAATTCAATGTCTAAGACTGTGGTGTTTGGCCCCGTGCAAAATGAGATACAAAGCTACTCATTATCGGGATAGGTGTTTTCCATGGAAATACTGTGTGAATCACGTAGCTGGTACAGTGGCTAAGGGGGTGTTTAGCAACACATCAAATTTGATGTGATATATCGAACCACAGTTTGTAGGGTATCCATTGCCAAACACCTTAGGACGTGTCTCTAATATAGGGTTTGGAATTAATAATAAAAATATTGTGACTCTTTGGACTTGTATCCTAAATTGGATTTAAGAATGAAATACGAGACTAGTTTCGGTTGGAATAATGTAATTTTACCCCCTCTATTTGATCTATCTAGTTATAAACCTATTCTATATCAGGTTTGAAAAATAATTTTCTGAATTCTGCTCTTTTGGGTAATGGCTAACTATAGACAAATTCCCTCAAGCTTACTGGCAATAGGGGTTTTTTTTTTCTTTTTTCAAACCTTAGTTAAGGTACTTTTAAACTGTGTGCAGCCAGATGTTCCCTACCTTACGAACCATGGTTGCCAAACATCCCTTAACCGTGGAGTGAAACCGATGCTATAAAGCAAGACTGGAAAGAACGTGGGGATCTCGGTATGATATCATCTTATATAACTGGAACCCGGGACTGTGTCGAAGCAGGATCTAGCCTAGCCTTACAATTCACGGCATGCGTTTGGCAGCCTTTAGGATCCTACACTTTCGACCAAAGGCCGTAACACTCTCCGATCTAGGGATAATAGCGTCCTGGTGTCACAGGACTGACGTCCTCAAATGGGCAGGGGCAGGGCTGGGAATACAGAGAATGTCCAAGAGCAATAGTATGGGAAACTGGGAGAGATGAGGAAGAACACCTAGCCTATAGGCGCTGGGTTTGTTTATCGGTTGGGTAAATTATACCAAACCCGGCACTTCAGCTTTTCATGTATGGTATCATACTAGAGCACTAAATCGTACAGATGACCATGTTGGCGAGGGGAGACAATTTTGAATTGTGCAAGATAACCCCAAGTTTTGTACAACAGCGTACTCAAAGGATGGCTATTTATACGAATATAGGTGGTCCGAGCATTAAATTTCAATGTTGGATAGTAGGTCAAATGTCGATGAGAAACTATTCATCATCGGGCCACAAAACTCATGTCCGTACCATGCAGGAGGGGGTACGGAATATCACTAACCTCAGTAGCACTCATGACATTCAAGTGCCATAGCTCAAGGCTCTTCTTACATTATTTTTCTTTTCCTGTTAAAAGAAGAGGTCCCCCCCACCGCGGTAGCAGCGCCTGATAGATCAACCTTTCAGCCCACCTCTGTTTCTTCAGAAAGGTAAATCTCCGAATTCAAACATGACGGCAACACACACTCCCAACCGTCTTTTAATTGGGGATCCGTTCAGAATAGGAAGGAATCTGGCAGCCTGGTTGGGATCCCGCATCCGGCGGGATAACTTCACTCCTACAGTACAGCGCGATACCCCCGGTGATAATTTTAATATCCGCCAGTGGGCAGGATATCAATTTTACCTAACACCTTCCTACTACATACTGCATGACCTTGGATAGTTCCCTAACTGAATCCAACACGATGCCGTCATCGCACGATAAACCTGGACATTTTAATGCCTGTACGCCACTCGAATTTTCCCGGAACTTGGAGGATTTGGATGGATAGATGGAGAAAAGCGGTAGGGTTCTGTAAGAAGCTTTTGAGCTGTTCTTTCAGTCCAGACCACATAAATCAGTACAAGGTGTGATGCCCAGGTACGATACTCGAGTACTCGTACAGAGAGGCAAAGCAGGAAAGATTTCCTCGTTCTAGGTTTATTCAACTTCTTGATATCATCCAGTAAAGTGGTGTACTGTTACGAGCACGGTATTGCACTGCACAGGATAATTCCCCTTCGATCCTTCCCATTTTGTAAAAAAAACAAAAACAAAAAAAACAGTGTAATAAAGGAGAACCGCTGTTGCCTACTCTTATCCATGGACAAGGGTGTGGATTATTGGAGCCTTCACAGGCTTCGGTAGTTGAGTGTGGATGTGTCGCAATATATCTCTGACAGATATAGGCTTTTAGAGGTACACTGCTGGTAGTGTGTTAGTTACCCAATTGGTGATGTCATCTGGTGCTGGTATTGGCTAAAGGGAAGGAAGTACCGTGGGCGGGTGAATCTTGATCTACCTAGTGGTGACATGCCGCACCTTAATGTAGCGTGGTATAGTAAAGTGTGGCGATAATGGATTTTTTCTCCCCACTTCTCGTACCTTTTTTTCTCACTAGCAGCGTCAACAGCGGCTAGCCTTTGTTAGAGCCAATGGTTATACTTTGTGTGCATTGTGCTTGTGCCTATATCTGCCAATAAGTACTCGTATGACATCTTAGAATATGGCTATTGCTAGACTACGATCCCGGCCAACGGAAGAAGAAGAAGGAAAGACCCCTCTCATTTCTCATTTCAGGTGCATTGCTGATGTATTAGATACAGGTACTTTACAGTACAGTGTTATGCCCAGTAAGTTAGCAGTGTTCCAGATAATCATCCCCAGAAAATTGACCAGCTCGCCTCATGATAACAATTGCGAATAGCTCACAGACTATTTCCGAAGATTCCCGAGTAATCGTGCCACTTATATACTTATGTTCCGTTCTCTCCTCCTTTTGCCTCCCCCCCCTCCCCCCCACACTGTAACAATATCTACTTGGGTGTATCCGTGTGGGAAAAGAAGAGAGCCAGGGAAGTGGTCGTCAGACCTACCGCCACAAGGACAAGATGCCTGCGAGAATTGGGAGCTCTGGAGAATGGTAAATAGGCCGGAAACAGACATCCGGGTAGCCCATTCATAGCGATATATTACGCAAAAATTTAATGCTTTCCAAACATTTAAATCACCAGATAGTACCACCAGTGAATTTCCGAGGGAACACGTCTCCAATGTCTACACTGTTGCCTTTCTTTCCTGACAGCTTTAGACTATCAAGTGAGCAGAAGAACAACTGCCCAAATTCCAATCCCTAAAGAGCTTGATTGGCCTCCAACAATTGGGAAAGTAACCATCGTCGTTCCAGCGCCGATATTAGCCCACCCCCCACCAGCCCATCGCAAAGCGAGAGAAAGCATAACTCCTAGAAAGAAAGAAATTAAGCCCACGGTATGTGGAGCTTATGATACTTCTACCATCCGCAAGGATTCGTACCGGGGAACAATTTTGCTGACTGTGACTTGAGTTATCCGCTAGTGGGAAATCCCCACTCGGACAGAGATTCAACCAGTCGAGCGATTAATCATACTCTACCGGCATGCCGGTACTGTGCATACGAGTACCCTACGCTTATATCATATCTCATCCCCAGACTACTCGTAACCAGAATTACCTTCTAGCCGGTGGTGTTGGTTATTGCTGCAGCGCTCACACTTTGTTATTTTACGTTGGGCGCAATTCTGTCAAGTAAGTTGCGGTGCAGTAGTCGACTGTGCCTGGGTAAAGGTTAGGGACAGACGTTCTGTTTTGGCAAGTGCGGGTACGTTAAATCTATGGGGGGAACACGTACAGTACGACACGAGTACGGTATTAGATATTCGGATGCGCTCTAGGCATTACAGATTCGGCGCGAGTACAAGTACGGTACACACTCAATGCGACCAACGATTGACCAGACAGAAATGCGAAAAAAAGAGGGCAAGAAAGGGTGGTTGGAGTGATTTATATGTATGCATGCTAGAAACACCGATGGAACCACCTTAACAATCATGATATAATACAATCTCCCAACTCGCAAAAGAAACTACCGCCCCCGTCATCTCCTAGGGTCTCTGGCCTTCACAAACCAATCGAGCTAAATACAAACGGTGGTAGCCACGATATAATACACACAACATGAGTCATCCACAGCCTTTCTCTAATCGTCGGAAGGTCCGGTCTGCAGCCGTGAGAAATCTCTCTTGTCAAAATCTTCCGGAGGTATCCTAACATCCTTTATCCTGTCTAGGTTTCCTACACTTGCATTCCGCTTCACGATAGAATTTGCCCTCTTCGATACGTATTCAAGGTCGTCTTCAAAGACCTCTGCCCACGAGCCATTGATATCATCCTCCTCCTCCGCCCCGCTCGGCCCCCGGCGAACCGTTCGCTCGCGCATCTTCATCGGTCGAATGAGGGCGAGTTCCTTCTCACGCGCTTGCTGCTTCTCACGCTGCTTTTCGCGCTGGGTCTTCTTCTTCGGCTTCGACCCGCCACGTCTGATTTTCGGTCCTTTCGAGAAATTGGGGTCGTAGCCGGACCCTGGGCTGGTGCCGAGTTCGCTGCGGCCTGGGGTGGGGGTTAGGGGCTCAGGCTCCACAGTGTCCTCTAGCGGAGCTATGGCGTAGTACCGGATAGGTACCGGATGTAGTTGCCGGGGACTCGGCTCTGTTGGTAGGTCACTATCATCGATGCCCTCCCATTCCTCCTCTTCTGAGCCTTCCGCAGTCGCTGCACGCTCCTGCCTTGCTTTCTCCGCCAAATCCCATTTGATAGCCGGAGCTTCGGGCAAGCGCGCCCGTTCTTGCTCGCTTCTGATGAAAACCGCCACGAAGAAACCGATACCTCCGTCAACCCACGGATTAAACCTGATACACGAGTCCGCCACTTGTTCGTTTCCATTGCATTCCTCTAAAATACCTCTCCTAGGCCAATCTTTCATTCTGTTTAGATGCCGAGGCTCTGTCACCCACCCTCTGTTCCTCGCAACAGGGGTATTTAGTGCTGCCATGACAACCCGCTCATTCTCCTGTGCGTGTATAGAGCAGGTGCTGTATGTTATCCGTGTCGCATTGGGGAAACGCATGGCATGCTCGATTATCCGGACCTGAAAGTCGGCTAGAGCGAAAATCCGATCGCGCTCTGCGGCCCCTGTTCGCCATGATTTCGCATCCTCATATTCTGCGGCGCTCGGCGGTGTATTTGCCCCCTTCGATGCTCCATCTGAGTTTCTTGTCCCCTTAGCGCCCGGCTCACCCACAGGAACATATCTATATTCTTCCCTCTCCACAATACCACTTCCGCTACAACTTGGATCTAGTAGGATATGGGTGACTCTATTGAGTTCATTCTCGGAGGGGTTCCACGGTGCACTCCTGAGAAAGTCGGTTGCCGGTCTGATCTCGACCAGATTCTCTGCCCCCGCTGCCTCAACAGTTTCCTTCAAGGTAAACGCTCTTCGATAGTCCCTCTCAAAAGCAAAAATCTTTCCCTTAGAATCGGGTCCTAGCAAGGACGCAAGGTGCGTAGTTTTGTTTCCCGGGGCTGCTGTAGCATCGATGATGTATGCGTCCCGGGGAGGGTCCAGTAATTGTGCAGGGACACAAGAGGCTCTGTCCTGGAACGCAATGGCACCAGTCTTCTTGAGCGGATGCTTTAGCAAGGGAGCAGAAGGGGCAAATGCCAATAAGTCATCGACGTAAGGATCCACATAGACCTTATTTGGTAAACAATCGCGTTTCGGGTAGAGCTTTGAGAGCTCGTTTATAGGGGTGAATTCGGAAAATACTCCCTTGTTCATGAGTAGATCATAATTAGCTTTCAGATTGTTGATTCGAACCCATCGTGGGAACCGCGGCAGCTGGGATTTTGCAAGAAGCGCTGCTTTGGTTGAAAAGCCACGTTTGAGTCTCGCGCGGGTAAATTCGGCCGATAAACGAGCTCGATTTCTCAATATCGAAGATTTCAGCGGGCCATCAGAGGCGGCGATCCCGTTCTTTGAAATGAGAAAGTCATGTAAGAGTACCAATGCCAAGGGATGCGTGAGCTAGTTTGGACCCATGAGAACATCAGCAAAGTTCACAATGGCTCAGGTAAAAGCCGATTTTAGATCGGAAGGAAAATAAGGACCTGGGATGAAAATTTCGCCCCTTCCAGGGGAGGGTTCACCTTCTTCTCGACCTTTAGTATCTGTGACTTTTCGATAACTTCGTTGAGGATTTCCTGGTGTTTGAGCGTCTCAACGCATAATGCGTACAGCTGTTCCGGTTTCGATTTTATTGATCTGTCGGAATACACTGCCGCACGCAGCCCGCCGTAATTGACCCGGGCGATAATCTTTGAACTCTCGAGGTAGAGCGACATCTGCAGTGGGGGAGCGTTGGATAGGGAGGGGAACAGACTCTAGAATGGTTTGATAAAATCCTGCACTGCTTAGTAAGTTCTTGTCACATGACCTAACTCGTGCTTCATGTGATACAGTCTCAGGAGGATGGCGAACAGGGGTAAGATGATACTTCATACGGGCAAAAGTGGGTTGATCAAGGTTAGGGTTACAAAGAACTACTAGAATTTTGATCCCTGTTGTCCACCCTCCCAGCTTCGCTATGCCCCCGGTGAACCGTGCAATATATAAAAAATGCCCCCCTACGAGTAAATGTCTAAATTTTCGGGTGATGTATTTATGTCGTGAAAACCCCCATGGACTGTTTAGGGTAACCACTCAGTACAGTACAGTACACTCCTCTAACAGAGCTTAGCGGTGAGCAGGCAGTCGCAAGTAAGAGCTTCGGACAAGCTCGAGCACTAGCCCTCTACCTATTATACCGTATTTGTGATCTAAGGCGCTGTATACCGAAAGGTTACCAACGGGATTCGGATGGGTGAAAAAAATTATACTGTTCCTGCGGTGTTGCTTGTGACTAAAATTTACGCTTACGAGAACCGTTTGGCGGGACCCTAACCTATCAGTGTGTATGCTCTAGTCTGATAACCCATCAAACAACTAGACAAGCACCAGCGAGAGCTTTTCGCTTTCCACCCCCGTCCCTGAGTGGTAGCCTATCCACCGAAACTGATGTACATGTGCAGCGCTTTCGCTGCAAGTGAGGGAGCCATCTCTCCCAGCCCAAGGGAGGCGATTCGATCTACCGGTACCGTGCTCGAGTAGAACATTGCCGGTATCTCACGAGCAACCAATAACCCCCCTCCTAGGTGAAAGCCCGCCAATACATCTACCAGTAGTCACTCTCACGTTCGCCAATCAGCTAGTTCACCCCATTAAAAAATTTAAATATAGTGGCCAGCTTACTAGTATCGCGCAATCCGAAGTGTCTTTGCCCCAGAATCAGCAAGTACAGTACCGGTAGATCAGTACATAATAAGACTAGTGGAGCCATTTAAGCCACAGACTGAGAGAGTGGCAAAGACACTGTACGTAGATCCCTCAGTCCCTGAACTGTATTGAATCTCGTTGGTTGGTACCATGACCGGTGGGAGTGGCCATGCTCTAGATTTCCATACTCGTGTAGAGTGTGGCAAGTTTATACCCATCTAACGATCCGTTCGGGAAGTAGTGAGAGTACAGAGTAGTACTGTATCAGGAACGAAGTTGAGAAATGGCGAGGCATGTCGGTTTAATGTCACACTATCCCTATAACTGGCTGGAGCACTGAAGACCTACCTAAATTTACTAAACCCACGAGAAGTGACAGCAGCCCCCCGTGTTCAGGTTCATCAGCCAGCAAGCGTCCACGCCTAACGACATCCCCGCAGAATGACCGGCACTACCCTGGTAAGCTCAGAATGTTTATAGCATGCTAACCGCACTAAATCGGTAGCTTAGAGACATGATACCGGCAATGGAAGCTATCACGATACTTGTAGAAAAGTTGGTCGAGCCGACTTTGCTGGTGGTTTGAACCCTTTTGTTTCTCCGAAGGGGCTCCGCACCTCACCTGGGAGCCCTTTGGTGAGCTATGCAGGATGGGCTTAGAATATATCTTTGGGTATGGAAACTGTGCTGGCATTTACTGGGCCATCTCTACTGTGAAAGTGAGGCTTGGCCACCTCGGGGTAAGCCAAAATAGGATGAAATCGGAGATTTGAGGCTCGGTCACGGTTCTACAAGCTCTCGGCGACAGAACGGGAAACAGGCCTGACCGTATGCCGTACTTTTCCTGGGCGCCCCTGTGTGCCGTACTGTGTGGCCAGGGCAAGCGCTGTGCGAGGCAATCCGTTCGTTTCTCTGCACAATATCAAGTAGTACATGGGGGAGTCCGGGACCCTAATGAGCAACCTAACCATATGGGAGCCAGAATAACTCCCAGAACCCGTGCGCAAATCCAAAAATTTCGACCCCACTGGTTCCTCAGTCTCTCTACGAATGCATCCCACCCCCCCCCGGGAAATCCCCACGTACAAAGATAGTGCGAGTTGGCCCCCGATGAAAAACCCAGGGACTTCTCTGTGTGTGTGTTACTGGGGCATCCTCATATGTTAGGGTATACAGGGTTGTGTGTGGGTCAGTGTTAACAGTCATGTATTCCCTTTAGATAGCATCCTCCGGAGCTAGGAAATACATCAAGTTCCTTTCCTCTCTCATCCACACATACCAGGTGTTGTCATTCTCGAGTACTAATAGCCAAAGTCCTCCGTGGTCACTTAGAAGTTAGAAACTCAATAACAGTTACAATATTTCAATTTCAGCCTCAACCTCAGTCCCCATCTCTTGTCGAAGTGCCCATTTTTGCTGGGAAATACCGATGGGGTCAACCGGATGATATCAAGGGCCGGAGCACCCGGGTGACCACCCGCCCTAGTTATGCTACCCGGGTTCCATGGTTGGTTCAATGGCAGGCAGGCTTTTTTACTATCTCCCTCTTCCCTGGTACGACATCGCACCAGTTTTATCCAACAGTCGATATTTAATGATAATGTGGCCAGCGCGGTTGCTGAATTCTCGACCAGGATCCCCTATCGAGAAACCATGGCGCTCGAACATCTGTCGAGGAAGATATGCGAAAGTCTGTAGGGTAGGAGAGAGGGGAGGGCTTTGACCTCCTTCTGACAGATAACTTATGTTACTACCAGTACCGGTATGGGAGAATTGTGGCATATCCATCTCACACGATATTATGTATATTGCCATCCTTTTTCCCCACAAACGGGCGGGGGATGGAGAAAGGTGTGTGCTTGTACCCCCTCGCCCGCTTGGCATTATGGAAACAGTAGATCATCCGGGTGCTTCCCGTAATCACCGTTAATAGGCAGCAGTCAACAGATATTCGGAGCTCACATGCCATTTCTCTAAGTACCAATTAGCTAGATAACTCTCTCGCCAAACTATAGGCTAGTACCGCGGCGCCTTTTTTGCGCAATCGTAGGCAGCGGTCCTATCTAGATCCAAGTGTAAAATGCGGGTAGATGGCGTCTCCGACGATGCGGATAAATATGAATTAGGGGTGGAGTGTGCAACCGCACAGTTAGACACTTTCCTCATTGCACCTTTTCGATCCACCAAATGGAAGGTGACTTAAGATAAGCTCTAAGTCGTTTCTATTTGCTCGAGGGGCAATGGCACCCGAAGCCAGGGGCGGCATTAATTGCTATTACCCTGGTACGTTACCATTAAAGCTTCCTCTTTTGGTTAAGAAGCTCGGAGGTTGCTTCTTTTGTGCAGTGCTCGCGCGGTAACATTGGATCCCATACGTACGAGTAGAGCCGAACCCGTTTAATGCCCTCCTTTGATGCAAGTATGATCCGTTCACATCCATCACCTTTATCCACTACGGTACCGGCACTACACATAAGCATAAATTACCAGCAAATTCGCCTAATATTTCAAACGCCAATCATCTCTCAGCGGCCCCAGATTCTTCCAATACCGGTAGCTTACAATCCTTTCCTTGTACCGCACACCCTCGGCTACTTAAGATATACTGTACCGTACGTCCAACCCTTGGTTTCAGAATAGATGCATGCATATTCAATACCCTCGAAACCACGATGAACCCGTTCCCCAGCCGGGTTCCAAACCGTAGCTACCGTGTTATACTATGATCAAAAATTATGCGAAGGTGAGGTCAAACCCAGGTAGGGAGAAACTGATATGGGCTACCCCCAATACACCCAGGTGCTGGTTATGTAGCCCTTAGGGCCCTACTAGATGCGGTAATAGCAAAGGAAATATTGGGAAGTGATACATAGAGATATATCTGCTATCCCGTAGCTCGATCAGGACTGTGTGTGAATTGGTGGCATTTTTGTGTAGCCCTCTCGATTGCGAAAGCATTGTGCAGTAAGCTACACGGGAAGCCGAAGGGCTTAATTACGGGCGGTACAGTACACATCCCAAAGGATAAAAGGAAAAGCAGGATCCTACAGAGGGGCTGTCCCACCCAAAAGATCCATCCGCACAAATCTTCATTACTAAGAGAGGTAGCGCACTCGCTCGTCACTTTCCGGCTATTAGTAAATAGTAGAGAGCTTTTCACGCATACCGACCCTTGAAATTTCCAGACCAGCTGATGATAAACTGATTTATCGGACACCCTAGGTGTAACTAAGGCAGACTATGATATTATCATACATCATACCAAACACCAGAACCCCCGCCATCCTGCGCCGGAGCTCACCCCTATGTGTAGAAGAAGGCATTAGAAGAAAGGGTGAAATTTGCGACTGAGGCTTCGAAGGTGCAAGCAAATTCCTACCTTCCTCTTACATCCGTATCCATATCATATCCCTTTACTTCAGTGCCTGATAGTCAAGGGCTCAGCAAGGTAAAGTGCTGTCAAAACCTTCAGTATAGCACCCGAGCCCTACTCCGAACCAGTCCCAGCACCTAGAACGGTTCCAAATATAAAGTATTGTAGTTTGAACCTCCTTTCGGGTGGTGCACAAAAGAATGAATAACGAAGACGCATTACCAACTCCTCTTCCTGGTCGTTCTTTGCACAGCTCATCCAGAGAAGGCATACGGTTTCCTTTTTATCTCCCCTTCCATGAATTGGCTTAATACACCATCTTACCCGCACATGAAGAGTACTTTCCTGGAGTGCCAGTGCAGTACAGCTGCTCCATCATTTGTCGAGTCCCGTGGGGGGTGGGGGATCCGAAGCAAAAACGAAGGAAAGAAATGTAACAAAAAGCAAGCACCAATAAAACTTCACTTGTCGTAGTCAAAGTGGTTGCCCCAAAGCAGGACTTCCGTGCACCTTCCAACCCCAAATTATAAAACCAGAGCCTGAATTGTCCTCACCTCCGCACCATCCGACAATGGGTGCTCGCTTATATATTCGGCGGATCGGGTGTTTTCCCTACATGCAGTAGACCCGAGCGGGACGATGCGGGCGCACCCGCGCACCGCAAGCGCTCGGCTTATAGAGACAACTGCCAAGGGAGGTGACCGGCAAGAACGTCACTTCCAGCCCCGGTGAGTATCATCTCAATACTCACTAGCCAATTAGGAAGAGCAATCGGGTTCGATCTCCCGTTCTCTTTGATGTTTTTTCCACCATTTCTTCCCATTTTAGACCCCTCCCCTAGGCAACGATCTCTGTAAACCAAGCGGTGAGGGTAGCAGCAGTACGATATAGCACTAAGCTGACGGCCTTCATGCACCTCACCATGTCCTACTCGCATAAACCTACCCACCCATCACAAAGGCGGATCGCCAACAGGGAACGGTGACTAGGGGGGGGCGGGACACGGGGGTGAAGGGTATGGCGCCTTGCACTTAAAACGCACACCTGACTCCTGGAAACATGTAAGGCTTAACCCTCTGAGAAAAAAACTTGATAACTAAAGAAAACCCAATTCCGAGGTTTCCATACAGAATTCAGAGTGAGCTCTACCGGATAATGGTTAGTATAACATTCGTTTCAATACCCCAATGATCTCAAGCCTGAAATCTCAATTCACTAGCCTTTAGAGTAATTCTGTTACCTTTTAACACTTGAGCCTACAAGGGCTGTTATGTGGTTGGCGAACTATGTCCATAATATTATGTCGGTAATGGCATAAATTGAGTCCAGGGTTAGCCGAATGTTGTAGTTTTTAGTTATAGGATTCTTTTCTTAGAGGGTTGAGTGGGACGTCCTGCATGCAGCCGGGTGTGCTTCTTAAGCGCAAGGCGCCATACCCGGAGTTCCCCTACCGTTATCATTATATCGACCCAATATCTCCCATGCGGAGGTACAGCGCCTTAGTTTTGTAGGTCCCACAAGTGAGGTTTGCTGCCCTTAGCCCCTGTGGAACTTACAGAATTTAGGTTCAACTTCCTGCTTTGCACTGTACAGGCGCTTCCTGCTCCGTTGCCGGACCAATAGAGCACGAAGCACAAACAGATCACCGCAGTATCTCGAGTATGATAATTGCACAAACATCTGCCCGTAGGTAGTCTGGGGTTTCCTTCTGGGGGTAAGGGGGTTGTCAAGCACCATTGGAAGGCATAGAAGACAAGGCTAGGATAGCCGGGGCTTGTAAGAGGAGGAAACGCCAACGTCATAATCGCACGGCCCAACCACTCGCGGTCCCTCTACTCGTACAGTACTTGTATCCGGCAATAGAGTATTATCTAAAAATCTAAATTACCCGAAATGAAAAAAGGTTCCCTTTCCCCCCGCCGGAACCGTTGGGGGAGGTTACTGAAGGTTATCCTCATGATCGTTAGGGTATTAGGGTTGGTTCCAAGCAGAGCTTCGCGGTCATGCATTTCCCGCCTTTACATAGCTTCGTCCGTAGCCCGAAAAGACTGACCTCTCCACACACACACACACACACAAACACCTCCATCTCTACAGGCACAGCACTCTGTCAGTACTTGTTGTATGGTGGTTATGCAACACAAGATATATTTTCGGATGTGATACAAGCGCCGATTGCCGCCGGACACAAGTACTGCAGAGTCCGACTTCCGAGAAGGATCCTCAGTGGGGGAACAGGTTCGCCCTGCTCTTCTAACGCATAACACAGCTAAAGAATTGCACTACGGAAGAACCTAGCTGGGGGAACGTTGGACAGAGAGCGAAGAGCTTGACTCGACGGAGTGGAAATAAAACAGATGAGGGTACACTTAGACTAGGCAGCAATCCAATTGAGGAAGAGGGAGAGTGGGGAAGTAGAGAGGAAGGGGGGGAGGGGGTAATGAATGAATAGTTATAAGAAGAGAACAGTTCCCTTCATTTTTTTTTACCATATTTCTCTCTCCTTAAGGTCAGAAATCTTTTCGTTTCGAGCGATGATATCATTCTATCATACTAGGGGAGCCAACGATACTGTGCCCTACTTTATAGCCCTCTTCCCAAAATGAAGTTCCTCCTCTTGATAATCATCTTAATAATCGCGATGATCATCCCGACACCTGTCTTTGTGTCTGGGACCACGGGTGCTAGTTGTGGGGAAACGGACCAGGGTACGATACGTGCTCGTGAATTCCTACTGTACTCCCCAACTGAGACATTCCCTTCACAACCCTGCCTGGCTTTCATTTGTGTCCATCCCAACTACACCACGAAACTATAAACTTTACAGTGCCATGTCCCTCCTTACTCGAGTATAGATTTTGGTGTGCCGGGGTGGTACCAAGAGCTTGGACCAGGAGGTCCCGGGATAATAGAGACTTTGCGGTACAAGTAGACGAATCCAGAGGACCAGAGCCCGTTTGTGCTATCTTGGCATACATATGCCAAGTCCCACAACTTCCAGAGATAGATTTGTTAATCCTCTGTTCTGTCAGGGGTTGAATTCAAACGTCTTGATTTTTATAGACCAGACACTTCTACCTCTCTTGTTTTAATACTAAAAAAACTGATTTAGAAGAAAGCAATATTAAAAATTATATTGTGGATAGAAGTTGTAGAGGTCAAATCTGGTCAAATATTTATTTGGGGAATTGTGAAGCTTGATGGAGCCGCTTTTTTCGGGGTTTATCCACGGTAAAAGCCCAAATTCCATTCTGCTTCAAATTCCCAGTTTCTTGGCTGCTAGGGCTGTCCGGATGCACCCACCGCAAAGTCTCTATTGGTGAACACGACCAACATTCAATATACCAATAACGATTAAAGACATCATTCCGCCCATGACACTCAGCCTCTTTAGCCAACCAACTTCCTGATGTGAGGCTCTTTGCACCAAGACTAACGTAATCCCGCTCCACCCCCACCTTTGGATTTTGTCCTTTAGAATGGTCTGATATTCTTCTTGAGCGGCAAGCCTATTGAGTGCGCTTTGGACACCCGGCCGACAAGCTTCACCCACTCGGTCCTCCAACCGTGCTTGGAATGCAATCCTTTCTGGTGTAGGATGTTAGAATCAACTTTATAGCAATTTTAACGGAATTTATCAAATACCTAATCCGCCCCGAACGTTAAAATTATGGGGGAGGCGTAGCTTCTTAACCTGTGCCTGCAACAGTTGAACCTCCAGTATATTTAGATATGTTATCCAAGTCAATACCAAAGGGGTTCTTACATGGAGGGTTGCGCTTTCACGAATGTGTTATTCGTTCTTCTCCTCCAGCTCTCGGCGCTGTGACTCCATCCACTTCACCCACCAGTCATCCCGTTTTTTGATCTCCTTCTTGTGTTCAAGCAAAGAAATTGTCGGAGCATGGCGAGCTCTGCGACTGTTTGTCATGACAAACCTCCTGGAAGGTGAAAGCTTGAGGATTGTCTTGTTACCGGTAGAAACAGTGTTCCCAAACGTCCATTCCGTCCGTCCTTAGCTTCGGACGGGACGGACGCCGGTTCCTGGAACTCTGCCCTGGACGGACGCCCGTTCTGTGGTCCGTCCTAACCTCTGCCCGGGACAGCCGGCCGGGCCCTATAGGTGTCTCACCTGCAAATAGACCTGCAGATGACGGCCGGACCCTGCAGATGACGGCCGGGCCCTACAGATGGCAGCCGGGCCCTGCAGATGACGGCCGGGTTCTGCAGATGACGGCCGGGCCCTGGTGAGGACGGCTGGAAGATGCCATTTGTATTAAGACCCCCGGGCCTAGGCGTCAGCCCCTCGGACAGCAGTCTTTATCAAAGACGGACGCCATGCCCTGCCGTCCTGGCCCACCACGCCCGGGACGGTTGGAAACACTGAAAGATGGAACCGGTACGAAGACGATCGAAAAGTGTGAAAAAGTGAAAACATTGTTGGGGGCTGGTGGAGAGGATATTTTCTTGATAGCGTAAGTGTTGTGTTCTTCGTTGATGTACTCGAGTACTTGTACCACATGAGAGGTAATAGAAGAAATCAGACTAATGTCACTGGCTTGGCATCCCTTACTCATCTAACAATTCATCGTTACCCGGCTAGCAACCAGATTCCATGACCGAGACAACGCCCCCACGCATAAACCGAACTCAGAGCAGCAGTCCTAGCAGGGGGGGTGTGCGGCTCGGGCCCCACGAAAATTGGCTAACTTGGATTGAGTGGTGGGATGTCGGTTTTTTCCACCCGTAATGTGGTGTAGAACCAACAACAACAAACAGCAACAACATCCTCCATCACCACCCACCCACCCGACCGCACATCCAACAACACACATACATAAGTGAAAGAAAAGAAAAAAACTAACAACATTCCAGTCGAGTACGACTTCACACCAGAACAAATCGCCGCCGCCGCTAATGAGGCCCTAGAGCATCTAATCGCAGACAGACAAGTCGCAACAGGGCCCCAGTCCCCGAATCACTGGGACTACCCGCACCAGTACAAGAACCATGAAGGGTTCATATTCAATTCAGGCTATAGGCGCAACTACTACGAGTTTCCTCTTCTTGGGCAAGTGGATGCCGGTAGGCCCCGAGTGTATACCGGCGGTGAAGCGGGCCCGGATAGGGTTATTATAGGAAGCGTTAATAGGCAGAAGGCTGCATTTTGCGGTGAGTTTCTTTCTTTCTCTCTTCTTCTTCTCCTTTTTTCCTCTCCTTTTTTGCCCTGTTAGAATGGGGTTAATGATATCGATTCGAGGGCTGACTTGTGAATTTGTGGGGTAATGCAGGCGTGATTACGCACAATGGTGCAGCAGCGGGTAGATTTGCGCAGTGCTCAACACCCGACCGGTCCTTTGCGCAGACATGGATGGGACAGGCGCTGGAGTGGGGATTTTCACTACTAGTACAGGTTCATAATAGTTGTCACAGGAATGGATGAATGGAAGGAATTTTTTGTTTCAGTCCTTTTTCCTCCTTCCTCCCTGTGAGAGGCAAGAGGAGGGAAGGAAAAGGATAAAATTGAGATTTAAAAAAAAATAGAATCTCCGACTCCAAAAAAACCCCATGGCAAGTGAAAGGAACGAAAGAACACAAAGGGCTATTGTACATGACGGTGAACACGATTGAGTGTTCCAGAAAGTATTTCTTATAACCAGGCCAAGTCGGCAGTGGTGATGACATTTCACCAGACCGAGACACTGCCAACGCCGGTGTCCATGACGCTAGGATTTTCCCAGAACCCTCCAGAAACGCCACCAAGGTCGCTCACAGCAAGCCTAACGGGGATTATTGCACCCTCGTCTTGCTATCATGTTAGCACTTATTCATGGTGGGACGGCATAAAAGTTTGAATGGGACGAGTGGAAAAAACTTACCAATGGTCTTAGGTGGCTTGCCCCCCATGGAGGCACCCATTTCTGTGTTAACCCTGGCAGTGAAGAACTATCAGCTATGTGCCGGCCACAGAGGAGAAGTGGTTGGGGAAAAGATAACATACCATCCAGGGCAGCAAACGTTGATCAGCAAGCTAGGGTACTTCCTTGCCAATATTCCGGAAAGCGCCGTCTCCCCGGCTTTGGTAACAGCATATGCCATGGGCCATCCATTCTCACTCGCCTTACCGTCCTTACAGTCCGCCTAGTCGGGGTCACATTTAGTCACTGAGACAACAACGCCAACCAACCAACCGGCAAATTCGTATATGGAGAGAGGCAGGAGAAGGATGTGGTAACAAACCTTGTACTTGTCCATCAGAGCGCTCAGCTGCTCGACCGTCAGTTCTGGGTTGCCGAGTTGGTTCCTTATCTCCTCGTTTTCAAATGCTGCCAGATGGCCGATTGCGGAGCCCATGGTGACAATGCGTCCGTGATCCTTCTCAATTATTGGGAGGAATTTCTTGCACACCTGCGCCCGTTGGCATCTCACTTAACTCCATTCTTCCCCTTCCATTTTCCATTTTTTTTCCCCCACGCCGAAAGAGGGCTAAAGCAGAGAACATACCATCAAAGTTCCGTAATAATTGACATCAACCATCAATTCATTGTCGGTTCCAGCAATAGAAGCATTGTTAATGAGAACATCGAGTCTCCCATGGGCGTTCCTGATCTTGTTGACCAAGGTGTCGATACTCTGCTCATCGGTGATGTCCAATTGGTGGTAAACCAGATTTGAAGAGCGTCCTCCAATGGCAGAAAGCTCCGTGACAGCCTTCTGTCCGCGAGAGACATCGCGGGAGGTCAAATAAATGATAGAACGGGAGGGGGCAGAAGTAAGCAGACTGCGAACAATTCCGTAGCCAATACCCTTATTTGCTCCAGTGACGAGGATAACCTGAGGATTCATGTTTTCCTCTGGGGAGGCCGCCCTTTGAGACATGTGGAATTGACGGGAGGAAAAGCAACTTGTTGATCTGAAGGACTGTGCTGGCTGGTGGAAACTCGGCTCACTGATTCTGAGGAACAAAAATCCGGAATGAAGAGCCTTGAGCTTGGATCTTTATACTCTTTTTCCAGAAGAGCCGTGGTGCGGTATAAACAGACTCCCACACATACAGTAGTACACACACGGGCTAGTCTAGTGCTCGCTACCCAACTACTGTACTACCCGACCCCGAGCGGCTGGAAGCTTTAGCGAATTACGGTCGCTTACATTGATGTTTTTGATAAGATTACCAGTGCCGTATCAGACGTGGGAGGGATGACAGGGCATCATGTGGTCCGAACCCTGCCCGGGAGATACCCAATTGACCAACTACAGTAGATATCCCATCGCCAACCGCTAGCTAGGTGGGATCTCACCCAACATTCAAAACAGCATGGATAAATTCTGTGGTGAGAAAAAAGCCGTCTCACGGGCATACGGTAAAAAAACTGTAATAACTGAGGATTTCGCGGGACGTTGGCGTTGCCTCTCCGAGCAACATCTGTTGTATTTTTTTTCTTTTCTTTTCATCTGTCCCAACCGACGGCTGAGAGAGAGAACCTCCTCACTGTGGTTTCCCCCCCTAATCCAAAAGGGGGAGACTCTGGCCCTCCTAGCGCCATTCCCAACTATTCCAGCCTTTGAGGTGCCGGATACAGTACTCGTACGGTACACTATGTAGGACTACTATGGTAGGGTGCCCGGTATGGAGGTTAGCAATGAGAAAGGGTATGAGGTTCAAACTACCAGTATTAAAGCTTCCGACCCTTCCATACAAGTTATATCATCTCTCGCTTCTGGCAGTATTGAGAGCCTCAACCCAAAGAAATCCCTACCCGCTCTATCGCTAACCGTCTATCTGAGTAGCCTATCAGTTTTGTGCGGAAAAGACCGTGGATCACGGGTGGAAAGAATGCTCGCGTCTCCGGGCAAAGAACTAGAGCACGCTTGCCGTTTCTACGGGCCTGCAGTGGCGGTTCCAGGAATGGTGCCAATCCCTGGCACGGAGACATGAGTGTACCGTACTCGAGTATGAGTATCATACTGTACCTGAGGATTTCGGGGCGGTCACGTCATGAGCGGCTGTAACCCCCCCCCCGAGGTGCTCACAACGAATCACTCGGTTTCTCCGCCTGATGCGCACGGGCCGCATGCGGGACTTTCCTTCCTTCGTTGTGTTGTCTCTGAGATTGAGGCTTCGAGGGTTGGATTTTGGTGTTCTTCTCCCCTTGTCGGTATTGTGATATGAGATCCCGCCCGCATGACTGGGGGTCCCAACTTTGTTGCTTTCTACGGAATACAGTACCGGTAGTTATGTCCAAGACTTACAATAAGCGAGAAGGCGTTCATCGGGTTAATTACTGCCATAGTGGAAAGGCAACACAAAATCCAACTCTGTGATGGGTAGAAGAGGATATCTAGAAAACTTCTCACAGCATAGTCTAAGCCGTAAAGGCCGGGTGACGTGCTCAGGTGACCGGTCCGGGCGTCTATCGAGCCACCATACCGATATTGGTTGGGATTAATACGAATGTAGGTTGTCACGAAACAGCGGCACAGCGGTCAAAGACCAAACCAACAATCACATTGATATGCGCTCCAATATACTAAAGAGAAATACCGGTAAATCCAAGTCGCCCTCCTGGTATCACACAGCGCCCATCTTCATCTTCACCTAAAAAAGTTTGTCTCCCTCCATCGCTTCGGTCTGTCCAGAGTAGATTAGTCATATAACCCCCACGGTACCGAAAAGCCTAGGAAACTCGGGACTTGTTCATAAATCATACCTTTTTCGCTGCCTTCTTATATGCTCCCCTCTCTGTGAGCTTTTCTGTGTACGCCCAAAGTTTCGGATAATTTCCCTGTGTGAATATCGATCTTCCTTTCATCAAGATAAGTGGGGAGGATAACAGGATATCCGCGCCAGTAAACTCCTCTCCAGCAATCCATGGACGCTGGGAGATTTCAGACTCGAGGAAATCAAAATGTGTCTTATAATTTGGCAACAAGTACTTTGTCTCAACACCGGAGCATATCATATTGACAAATGGCTTCAGGAAGAATGGGACGGGTGCATTCTTGACGCCCTGCATTACAATCCCAACGAGCAGGGGAGGCATGAAGGAGCCCTCTGCATAATGGAGAAAATACCTGCACACGGTGTTTAGAAAAAAAAACCCCAACCGCTAAAGAGCATGGGGGAGGGTGGGAGAGATGCTACAGACTTGTATCTCATCAAGGAAGCACGGTCTTTAGGCTTCAACCATTCACCGTAGTTGTCGACCAAGTACTCGGTAATAAATCCAGACTCAGCAAATAGATCGTCGTTAACCTTTACCACGGGGAATTTCCCGAGTGGATGTATTTCCTTGGCCTCCGGTGGAGCTAGCCCATCCACACGTCTGTAAACCTCCAGATCGTAGTCCAGACCGAGTTCTTCGAGGAGCCATACCATGCCTTGGGCGCGGGATTGGTCGAGCCTGATGAGTTTGTCAAGGGGTGGCGACTTTGAGTAAGCGGCTAGAAGAGGGGAAAGTTTGATACGAACCAGAACAGCGTGACCTTTGGCTTTGCAGCCTCGTCGTTGGATGCATTACCGGTAGTGGTGGCCATGTTTGTCGATTGTGCCGCGGAGCTATGTACCG